CGCAAGTCTACCACATATGATACAAGGTACCCAATTTATGTTTACATTTCCAACATTCATTTGACATATTTGGAAACATCTTGGCTAGTCTATTTGGTGACAAATACCATCTATAAAACATTTTATACAGGTTTTCTTTATACGAAGTTGCTAATGTTATCTTAATATTTCTCTCCCACAGCGTTTGCCATTTCTAGTTCAATATTATATCCAAAGTTTTGTGCCCACGTTATCATAGTTTTCTTAACCTGTTCATCTTCCATTCTCCTATCAAGTAAGAAGTTATATCTTTTAATCATTTTCTCATCTGATTAAAACATCACCTGATCAAATGCTGTTAAATCTTTATAAAAGCCCCACATTTTATAGTATTTAGCATATCTCAACTGTATCTGCACCTTATGCCTCCAAGAAATATTAAATCCTTGTTCTTGTGTTTCTTGATTCAATTTCAGTCCTCCATCATTATCCAAAATGTCGTCATATCTTATGATCCCTTCAAAGTTCAACGCATTTGGATATACAAGAGCTTCCATAGGTAAAAGCCATCTTGGTAATTTATTATACAATTTTGTCTTTAACTTTTCCCACACCGACATTAATGATTTCCTAATATAGTGACTTAAAAAAGAGGCATGTAGCTTAGCCTTTTCATACCACATATAAGCATACCTACCCATTTGCAACTCATGCCCTTCAAGATACAAGATTCTCTTATTTCTTAAAGTTATCCATTCTTTTAACCACGGTAAAACAGAAGCTTGATAGTAAAGCATCCAGTCAGGGAGACCAAAGCCCCCATTCTCTTTAGCCTCCTGAAGTATTTTTAGTTTGATCCTTGGTTTCTTCTTTCTCCATATAAATCTTGAGATTTGAAAATCTAAGTCATCAAAAAATTTTCTATCAATTTTTATGGGAATCATTTGGAATAGAAACAAAAGCTTTGGTAATATATTCATTTTAAACAGTGTTATTCTTCCCAGCAAGGATACTTGCAAATTAGCCCATTTTTCCAAATCACTCTTAATATCCTTAAATAGTTTATCATAATTGTCTTCTTTCAGAGTGGTACATTGGCTGTAAGATAAATTCCCAAATATTTAATCTTTTTAACAATCTGAAAGTCTACATGTTCCACCAGTTTTTCTCTGCTCCTGTGTGAGATTTTTTACTAACAGTTTTGTCTTTTCTCTATTTATTTTCATCCCAGTAACCTCGCCATATTCAATCCTTTGTAGGAGTTTAGACATTGTTGCTAAGGGTTCTTCTGTTATAAAAACTAGACCATCTGCAAATGCTTGCAGTTTATAGCTTTCATCTGTGATTCTAGTACCTTTAATGTCCATATCGTCCCTGATATTTCTGTTTAGCACTTCTAAGATCAATATAAACAACAGAGGTGATAGCGGGCATCCTTGTCTTGTACCCTTTTGTATATCTATAATATTTGTAGAATTGTAGATTCTCCATTGATTATAATCCTAGCAGACTACTTTTGATAGATGCTTAATATCTCATTAATAAACTTTTCACCAAACTCCATTTGAGCTAGCTGTTGCTTCATAAATTGCCAGTTAACATTGTCAAAACCCTTCTGTGCGTCTATGAATAATAGTGCCATTGGTTTTTTCCATATGTATCTCATAATCCTCTAAGATGTCCAGGATAGTTCTCAGGTTATTCCTCATTTGTCTTTTAGGTAAAAAACCATTTTGATCTGAGTGAGTAAAGTCCGTTAGATACTTCTTCCATCTTTCTGCCATTATGGAGGCAAAAATTTTGTAATCCACATTTAATAGTGATACAGGTCTGTAATTTTGGATCTGAGTCAAGTCCGTGTCTTCTTTCAGTATTAATGTGATATTTGCCTCTGTCCAAGTATTTGGTATTTTAGCATTTAACAATGCAGCATTACATATATCCTTAAGAAGCGTAGCAAAAATTCCTTCAAAGGATTTATAAAACTCTGCTGATAGTCCATCCAGGCCAGGAGTTTTGTCGTTCTTTTGTCGCTTAATTGCCTCTATTACTTTTGTGATTGTTACTTCTTGATTTCTCCGGTAACTTTGGCAGGCCTTTTGGATAAATTCTTTTACTTTCTCAGTTGAAATCTCATCATTCTGGTATACCTTTGCAAAAAATCTTCCACTATTTTCTTGATATGTATACTTTGTACTTGTAGTCGTCCTTCTCCATCCTTCAATTTACTTATCAGTCCCTTCTCTATTTTATAGGCTAACCATCTCCCTGGTTTATTAGCATTTTCAAAGAAGTTCTGTTTGGTCAATTTCATTTGCTTAGTGAGTTCATTTGTGTTCGGGAGGTTCAGTTTATGTTTAGAATATTCATTTGTACCTTAAGGGGTTTTTTTTGGATGGATCTTCCTGTAATTCTTGTTCACATTTCATCATTTCCTCTACTATTTTAGCTCGTTCTTGTTTTTTCCTTTTATTTGTGCTGACTATGTTATTATCAGCCCCCTGACATAGGCTTTGCCTGTATCCCAGACAATTGCAAAGGGGTTTCTTCAGTTTTATTTATTTGAAAGAATATTTGCATTTCCTTATTTATCTCTTCTGTGAATTTTTTATCCTTTAATAAGACTTTGTTTAACCTCCATCTGGGTGTTTTTACTGTCCCTTTCAGTGATATAGCTACAGGGTTGTGATCTGCCCAGACATTTGCCTCTATGCACTTCCTAATTTCAACTTCTGCTTGGCTACCCATGATGCATTAGCAGTACTGCACTCAACATTGCTAGTATCACTGTGATTGTCTATGTCAGGGATTCATTTGGGGATATCCCTGAAACAAAAACAGGATAGCTAATACTGTTTCCTTGATAATGTTTACTCAGGACTTGGTTCTTGATATTTGCTTGGAAATGAACTCTACCATGTCAGTTAGAATGTATATTTAATAATAAATCCTGCTGAATTCTCTCCTAGATTAGGAGTCCTGTTAGTAGCTGCTCAAAAGCTTCTAAGTGAATTAGCTTGATCTATACTTTTGAAGAATCTGCCATCCCAAAATGCTTTGGAGATGGGGCTTGGAGCTATATAGGATGAAATATAGGGATGAAACAAAGGCAAAAGCAGCCAGGCACAAAAATACCAGCATATTTTAGTGTAAAACTCTTACTACCAGCAACTGAGCATTGAGAAGCATCTCAGCCTTTTAGAATGGGAGAAGAACTGCACAAAACTGCACTCGGGGGAGGGGGGAAGATGGCCGTGATCTTGGTTGTCACCCAATGTGGAGTTCACAACCCAAGTCAAAATTTTCATGTAATTTTTGTCCGTGACCGATTTGGTTGTGAAACAAGGCATTTGTGAGCCGAGGCACCACTGTACTGCATAATGTAATCTTGAACTTGGGAGGGAAAGACTTTATTGGTAAAATTGGGCATGGCAAATCATGTAAACTCTTCAGGGTATTACTGTTCATGGTCAGCTGAGTGAAGTGACAATTTTACTTTGCCTTAATGGTAACACTAGCCTGAGATAATTATGGTATTTTGCCGAGTTTTAAAACATTGCAGAACAGGTATTTTCAGCATCTCATGAACAATGGGATTAATTTCAGCATAGAGGCTTGTGCAATTTCAGATATTCCATCAGACGGAACTATTGCAAAAGATTTAAAAAATCACCTCACCCAGTTCTAGATTATGCTAATTTTTAATTGTTGCTAGTTTAGAACCTCTAAGAAAAACAGGGAGGCTTGGAGTAAGGAACTTAATGAAACGATGCATCCTAATTGATAGGAGGAAGTGTTACAGCCCATCAAGCAAGCAGGCTAGATATAGGATCACAATTAATACAATGTCAAATTATCCAGAGATTTTTTTGGAAGTCTCTGGAGCTTACATATAGAAACAACATCACCCATCAGCAAATTGGAAATGCTCTGTGTTGTGCACATATTTTGTGCATAATCTCCTATGTTGCTATAAAGTTGTTTACTAGTTCTGGAATGTGGTCATTGCATGCCTAGATTTAATTCTGGATATGATAATAGAATTCAAATTTAAACATCTGATACTTGCACATTTGCATTTTGTGTCTGGTTTCTGTATAACATAGTTCATGGTTAATGAAACCTCAATCCAGGAATGAACAATTCACTAGCCCAGAGTTGCAAGGGAAGGGCTTATAACTTTTTAAAGACAGATGCTCTTTTTGTAAACTGGGATCCATTTCTATGTAGATTTCTCTCTTCATCCATAAGGAAAATCTCCACTTGTTAACTTTCTTTTAAAAACTATAAAGTGCTTTTTACTAATATTTAATTTCTTTTCTATGCCATCCCATAACCCAAAGGCTAATAGTAAATTATTAAAATATATACAAATATTGTTGAATTTTAATAATTTAACAATTATTTAACAATTAGGTTGTAAAAACCTAATTTAACAATTAGGTTGTGATCTTATGCGCATTTACCTTGGAGCCTTGAACTCTGTTGAATTTACTTCTGAGTGGACCTGCACAGAACTCCTCTGTGGAGGTTGCAGGCCCATGAACCCTGCATTGATAGCACGCTCCACTTAACTCAATGGGACTTCCATCAGAACAATCATGCAAACGATTGCGCTTTGAACATGTGCGCAAATTTATTTATTTATTTATTTATTTATTTAGAAAACTTCTATGCCGCCCCATTCGCCGAAGCCTCGGGGCGGCTCACAAAACATCAATTAAAATATAATACACTACAAATTTACGTCTTTTAAAGCTCTAGTTCTGGCCGCCCGGAGGATCCTGAGCGTACCGGAGGAGAGGTTGACTTCGGCGCAGTCTTTCGAGACGCGGCGCCACGGGAAGTCTCGCGCCGAGGCGAAGAAACCGTCTTGTGCGGCGCGAGGAGCCTGACCTCACTTCCGCCTGTGCCGGACGCGCTCATCCTATTTGTCCGCTCGAAAGGAGAGCACGTGCATGGCGCCTCCCCAGCCCTTTCCCCTCTTTCGACCGTTCTAGTCAGCTCGGCGAGGAGGACAGCCGCGGGCGGAGCTAAGGATGGCGGGTCGCTGGGGTGGGGCCGCCGCGCAAGCGCCCTGAGCGAGTTAAGCGCCTAAGCGAGGAGTCGCCGCCACCGCCGCGTAGCAGGAGCGGCACCTTCTCTCCCGGCTTGCTTAGGCGAGGGTTGGCGATGCCGCCTCCAGGCCAGGTCCGGCTGCCGGACTGGGACGCGCTGAAGCTCCGCGTGCGGAGCCTCATCAGCAACCACCGCGTCATGGTCTTTAGCAAGAGCTACTGCCCTTTTTGTCGAAAGGTAAGGCGAGGCAGCGGGGGGGAGGAGAGGAAGCGAGCGTTGCCTTGGCAACGACCCCTGGGAGAGCGCGGAGACCAAAGAGGGCCGCGCCGGGCCGGACGGGTCACCGTGAGGGGTGGCCGTGTGCGCGCTTTCCGCCTTGAGACCTGGGGCTGCCGGGTGTCCCAGTGCGAAGGCTCCCCTTCCTGCCGTTTCACGTGCCTCTGGGTGCGCGTTCTTTGTCGGCCCTTCCTTCCCTCCCTCCCTCCCTCAAGGACTTGGCCGTGAAATGCCTACTAAGCACAGCCTTAAGCCGCGGCGGGTGGGCTCTCCTGCCCCGTCGCTTCTGGCGTTTTGAGCCATCCAGGCAGTCCTGGTACTGGGTGGGAGAAGGAGGGAGGGAGCGGGTGACGTGTGAATAAATCGCTGTGACTCTGGACTGGCTTTAGGAACTGAAAGGTTACTTGCTTGTGAGTGATCGAAAACCATAGAGTAGCAGAGGGATGCGGGACTCGGGTCGCTCCTGCTTTGGGAATGCTGCTCTGGTTTTGGGTTTCCCAGATTCAAAAAAGGCCAGGCTGTGATTCACGATGAAACTGAACTGGAAATAATAATCTGTACAAAAGCACTACACTTTGTCACTTCAATAAAGTGTAAGGGCCAGGATCACCAAATTAAATGTGCAAAAGTTAACATTCTTAGCGTTTTGCTGGCTTGGAAATAAAATTCATTGAAATCAGTGGGACCTGAGAGTAAATATGGATAGTATCGATACAGAAATCTATAGGCAAACATTTTGCCTCGATTTAGGTGCTGAATCCAGTTTTTGACAGTTGTTGTTTTTGTAGCTTTTGTCACAATTTGGAACAGCACGTTACACATGTGGAAGTTGAGAGGAATAAAATAGGCACAAAAATCATATCTCAAAATATAGAATTAAAGGCATTTCTAATATATTTTGCAAAATCTGAGATGGTACAAACTGAAAATTTTTGTCCTTGTCTCATTTAGATTCATTAGTATAATTCTGCTGAGTTCAGATTTTAAAAATAGCTGTAGTTTGGTTTTTAAAATATTTGCAAGGCAGATGAAATGATTTCTATCCCATCTTTCCTCCAAGGAGCCTTGGGTGGCATATATGATCCTCTTCTTTATTGGATCCTGACAAAAACTCTGTGAGGTAGGTTAGGTCGAAAATCAGCAGCTGGTCCAGAGTCATCCACAGGAAATTTCATGTCTGAGTGGTAACTAATTTACTAGTATTCTGCTCTCTGTGGTAATTGCAGGGTGAGAAGTAAAATACTGAGGTTAGGTATGGATTGAGGTGTTTTCTCTCTTCCTCTAAATGTTTCTTCTGGTGTGTCACTTTCAAACACCCACACTGGAGCTGTTGGAGGCTTCTCTGATGGAAATAGGGTTATTGAGGGCAGGGCAGCATGTTGAGTATTGAGATTTATCATATGGTTGTGGCTGCAGCTAATAAGCATGTTTCTAATTTAAGCAAATAGGCATATAATTAAAAGCATCACAGTACCATTCAGGGTGATAAATCAGTTAGAGATGTTAGATTTCTTCTGGTGCCATGTTGACATTTCAGACAAACTCCTAGAAGTTTGGGTTTATTAAAGAACATGCATAGTTGAGTTGATGGATTTTAACAGAATGCTCTGCTTATTTCTTTCCATTGAGGTTTCATGAGTGGCTAGTTTTTATATTGCTATCAGACACTGAAAAAATAAGGAAATCTGGGGCTCTGTGTTGAATAAGTGCTCCTTTTGGTCTTTTACAACTCTTGCTCATAAGCTGTCAAGCATTTTATACAGAGTGATTGTTGACCTATACTTGTTATTAGTCGCAAAGTCGTGTCCAACCCATCGCGACCCCATGGACAACATTCCTCCAGGCCTTTCTGTTCTCCACCATCCCCCGGAGTCCACTCAAGCTCACACCAACTGCTTCAGTGACTCCATCTAACCACCTCATTCTCTGTCATACCCTTCTTCTTTTGCCATCTATTGTTCCCAGCATTAGATCTTCTCCAGGGAGTCCTTCCTTCTCATTAGGTGGCCAAAGTATTTGAGCTTCATCTTCAGGATCTGGCCTTCTAAAGAGCAGTCAAGGTTGATCTCTCGGACTGACCGGTTTGATCGCCTTGCGTTCCAAGGGACTCGCAGGAGTCTCCGCCAGTACCACAATTCAAAGGCCTCAATTCTTCGGTGCTCAGCCTTCCTTATGATCCAACTTTCACAGCCATACATTGTAACTGGGGAAACCATATACACTTTTGTTGGCAGGGTGATGCCTCTGCTTTTTAGTATGCTGTCTAGATTTGCCATAGCTTTCCTCCCCAGGAGCAAGCGTCTTTTGATTTCTTGACTGCAGTCCACATCTGCGGTGATCTTGGAGCCCAGGAAAAGAAAATCTGTCACTACCTCCATTTCTTCCCCATCTATTTGCCAGGAAGTGGGAGGACCGGATGCCATGATCTTAGTTTTCTTAATGTTGAGTTTCAGCCAACTTTTGCACACTCCTCCTTCACCTGCATCAAGAGGCTCTTTAGTTCCTCTTCACTTTCTGCCATGAGAGTGGTATAATCTGCATATCTGAGATTGTTGATATTTCTCCCAGCAATCTTAATTCCAACTGGTGATTCATCTAGCCCCACCTTTCTCATGATGTGCTCTGCATATAAGTTAAATAGGCAGGGCGGCAGTATACAGCCTTGCCGAACTCCTTTCTCAATTTTGAACCAATCAGTGGTTCCGTGCCCAGTTCTAACTGTTGCTTCTTGACCCACATAAAGGTTTCTCAAGAGACAAATAAGATGGTCAGGTACTCCCATCTCTTTAAGAATTTGCCACAATTTGTTGTGATCCACACAATCAAAGGCTTTAGCATAGTCAATGAAGCAGAAGTAGATGTTTTTCTGGGATTCCCTAGCTTTCTTCATGATCCTGCGTATGTTGGCAATTTGATCTCTAGTTCCTCTCCCTCTTCGAAATCCTGCCTGTACTTCTGGTAGTTCTGGGTCCACATACTGCTGGAGCCTAGCTTGTAGGATTTTGAGCATCATTTTGCTAGCGTGTGAAATGAGTGCAATGGTGCGGTAGTTTGAACATTCTTTGGCATTGCCCCTCTTTGGGATGGGAATGTTAACTGACCTTTTCCAATCCTGTGGCCACTGTTGACTTTTCCAAATTTGCTGGCATATTGAGTGTAGCACTTGTACTGCATCATCTTTTAAGATTTCGAATAGCTCAGCTGGAATATTGTCACTTCCACTAGCTTTGTTGTTGCTCAGACTTCCTAAGGCCCATTTGACTTCACATTCCAGGATGTCTGGCTCGAGGTCAGTGACCACCCCATCGTGGTTATCAGGGATGTACAGTTCCTCTGTGTAATCTTGCCACCTCTTCTTAATCTCTTCTGCCTCTGTTAGGTCCCTGCCATTTTGGTCCTTTATCATGCCCATCTTTGCATGAAAAGTTTCCTTCATATCTCCAATTTTCTTGAAGAGATCTCTGATCCTCCCTATTCTATTGTTTTCTTCTATTTCTTTGCACTGTTCATTTAAGAAGACATTCTTATCTCTTCTAGCTATACTCTGGAATTCTGCATTCAATTGGGTGTATCTTTTCTTTTCTCCCTTGCCTTTCGCTTCCCTTTTTTCCTCAGCTATTTGTAAAGCTTCCTCAGACAGCCATTTTGCTTTCTTGCATATTTTTGCATTGGAATGGTTTTAGTTGCTACCTCTTGTACAATGTTGCAAACCTCCGTCCATAGTTCTTCAGGCACTCTGTCTATCAGATCTAATTCTTAAATCTATTTGTCACCTCTACTGTATATTCATCAGGGATATGATTTAGGACATACCTGAGTGGCCTAGTGCTTTTCCCTACTTCCTTCAATTTAAGCCTAAATTTTGCAACGAGAAGCTCATGATCTGAGCCACAGTCAGCTCCTGGTCTAGTTTTTACTGACTGTATAGAGCTTCTCCATCTTTGGCTGCAGAGCACATAGTCAATCTGATTTCTGTGTTGACCGTCTAGTGATGTCCATGGTCAGAGTCGTCGCTTGGGTTGTTGGAAAAGTGTTTGCTATGACCATCCTATTCTCTTGACAAAATTCTACCAGCCTGTGCCCTGCTTCATTTTGTACTCCAAGGCCAAACTTGCCTGTTATTCTGGTTATCTTTTGGCTTCCTACTTTAACATTCCAATCCCCCATGATGATAAGGACATCATTTTTTGGTGTTAATTCTAGAAGGTGTTGTACACCTTCATAGAACTGGTCAACTTCAGCCTCTTCAGCACCAGTGGTTGGGGCATAGACTTGGACTATTGTGATGTTGAATGGTTTTCCTTGGATTCAAACTGAGATCATTTTGTCATTTTGGAGATTGTATCACAGTACTGCTTTTCCTATTCTTTTACTGACTATGAAGGCTACTCCATTTCTTCTGTGGGATTCTTGCCCGCAGTAGTATACCTGATAGTCATCTGAATTAAATTCACCCATTCCTGTCTATTTTAGTTCACTGATCCCTAAGATGTCCATGTTCAGTCTTGTCATCTCTTGTTTGACCACATCCAGCTTGCCTTGATTCATGGATCTTACATTCCAGGTTCCTATGGAGTATAGATCTTTACAGCATCGGACTCTCCTTTCACCACCAGATACATCTGCACCTGAGTGTCCTTTTGGCTTTGACCCAGTTGCTTCATTCTTTCTGGTGCTACTAGCACTAGCCCTCTGCTCTTCCCCAGTAGCATATTGGACACCTTCCGACCTGAGGGGCTCATCTTCCAGCATCATATCTCTTTGCCTTTTGGTATTGTCCATGGGGTTTTCATGGCAATGATACTGGAGTGGGTTGCCATTTCCTTCTCCAGTGGCCTGTACTAGGGAGGAAGCTAATACAAGAAAAGAGCCCTAGTAGATATATAAAATATGTAGAGGTAAAGTATCATAAGTTCTTGAACTAATTGAAAACCTTGAATATTGGCTATGATATTGAAAGT